AGGGGGGTGGGAAGAGGTGAACTTGAGGGTCTAGCTTGTCATGTTTTGTAAAGAATATTATATTGGCTGTGATATATCTGAAGACAAGGAAGAATGCAATTACTGTATTTAACAGTTCTGACGTGGGTGAAAAGTTAAAGTTTGTTCTGATGATCAGTAGTACAATGTGGAAAAAATGCTCTCATAACACTTTCTGATCAGTATTCAGTCACAAAATGGCCAGCAATGACCTGACCATCAATGATTTATTTATAGAGGCACCAGCCATCCATGTCCAGGTGCTGTTTTAGCCTATGGCCAGCAATATGAAGCTAAATATTGGGCAAGACCTGATTCAAGTAATTATCTGGCAAGACTGTTACAGTTGGTTTTTTTTTGTTTTTTGTTTTGTTTTTCCCATCGTTTTATTTTTCGTACGGTACTTATTGTTCTGACACGTATTTTGTCTTTCTCGTCGCTGGTGTTTTGTTGAATGTGCTTTTTATTTTTGTTGTGTTTTTTTTTATTTCTTTTTCCATCGACCACCGTTAGCTTATGATGATCTTGATAAAAGTGGCTGACATTTCAAACGAAGCGAGGCCCATGGCTGTTGCTGAACCTTGGTTAGATTGTTTGCTTCAAGAGTTCTTCAACCAGGTATCTGCACAGAAAACTCCTTGCTTCTTTTCATCTGTACTTTTTGCACATAAATATACACACGCTAGCACATGCACACGCGTACGCGCACATGAACACGCACACAGAAATGCACACGCCAACACACACACACAGGCACACGCACATGCACACACATAGACACATATATTTACATGGCCCAATGTTGTCATACTATTTCATCTTTAAATTTCGTGTAGTGCTCTTAAAATGTTCAACATGTTTTGAAAAGATCATATTTTACTGTTTTTAGTCTAGTTTTCAATCACCATTTGCTGAGATGCGCAGAAAACTGTATAGGAATGATTTGTTTTGAGAAATTAAGATAAATATAGAAATATTAGATACCTGTACATAATCATCTAGATCTACTTGTATTCCAAGTAAATCACAGTTGTGCAAATGATATCTGCAAAACTTACACACACTCATAATATTATGACAAATCCATCTGTTTTTCTGTTGCCTATCAATTTTAATTTCTTTCTAATTAAATGAAATTAAAGAAAAGTATTGAAGATGTAATGTTCTCTTGCAAGTCAAAAAAAGGCATTTCTGCATAGTGAAAATGAATTCACTTTTCTCTTCTATTTTTTTTTTTAATGTGTCGGTAATTTGAAGGCATTATGCAATTCTTTATTTTCTACGTTAAAGGATTAAAATCATAGGACAACCACAGTGCTGTTCAATGAAGTGCTAGTTCAATGTCGAGTCTGGAGAGAAAAAATTATCATAATATTTTGAATTTGAAATGACTGTAATCAATATTCCAAAAAAAGTTGGATGATCAAAAGTAGTATACATTTTTTACATACAGTGGGCCTGAAATGGACATGATTTTTTTTTCTTCCATTTTACACACAAAAAATGCAGAATTCATTTCAGAACCTTTGCTTTTGTTGGTAGGCATACCTAGTAGAACATTTGACTGTATTTTTTGTTGCTTTTTTAACAACTTTTTTAGGCTTGAACCAAGATCCAGAAATCTATAGGCATATTTTTAATAGGTCCCTTAGTTTTTAACTCCCAGCCTACTTCTCTGGTGATCAAGACAAAAGTCTACTTACAAAGTAGGGCAATGTTCAGAGTTTAATCATAAAGTGCATAGAACATGCAGAAGAGCATGGATGTACGCTATATAAATGTAATTATTTCTTATTATTTTAGTTATTATTATTATTATTATTATTATTATTATTAATATTATTATTATTATTATTATTATTATTATTATTATTATTATTATTAATATTATTATTATGATCATTATTGTTAATAATATTGTTGTTATCAAGAATATTGTAACAGGAATAAAAATTGTTACCGTTTCTGAAAGGTAGATTATGGTTAGCAAAAATTATTATATATTGTTATATATTATACATTTGGATTGTTTTGGTTTTTTTCTCTATATTTTCTCCTTCGTTTCCTCTCATCTATTTCTGTTTTTTCTCTCTGCCAGAGTGACCTTGAGAAGCTGGAGGGTCTGCCGGTAGCACCGTTCATGGACCGAGAGAAAGTGTCCAAGTCATCGTCGCAAGTCGGGTTTATCAAGTTTGTTTTGCTGCCGCTCTTTGAGACGGTGGGGAAACTTTTTCCTCAGTTAGAGGTGAGTTTTCTGTGTGAGTTTTCCTCAGTTAGAGGTGAGTTTTCCTTTGTGAGTTTTCCTCAGCTAGAGGTGAATTTTCCTGAGGTTTCCGGGGTGCCTTAATAGTTGAAGCAGACTTATTTGTGCTGTTGAAGCTAGAGAGGTGAGCAGAGTAAGTGCGATTCTCTGTAAAGACTTCTATATTGACATCCACCCTTTTGCGCTCATATGACCTTATGCATTCGAGAGCACTGTAAAACCTCTACTATAATAATTTTAAAAAACTCTTACTAATACTACTCTCTCCGTCTCTCCATCTCTCTATCTCCCAGAATGCAATCATCGAGCCTGTCCGCGACGCGCTGGCCTACTACACAGAGATGCAGCGCGCTCTGGAGGAAGAGAAGGCCAAGAAAGACTCCCTGGTCGAGTCGGCCGATGGGGACAAGAACGGGATGCTGCCTGCGAAGACAAACAGGAGCAACAGCAACAGCAGCAGCAGCAGCAATATCAACAACAGCGCTGGCGGTGGTGAGGAGAAAGAGAAGGAGAAGGAGAAGGAGCCAAAGACGAAGGCAGCATCGAAAAACAACTCATCAACCAACCTCTCTGGGCCGTCAATATCTTCATCGATAACATCTTCAACATCAACGTCATCGTCGTCATCCACAGCAAAAATCAACAATTCCTCCTCATCCGTACGCCGTGGCAGTGCGACAACCCTTCTCACAGCTAAGCTCTCTGTTGAGGTTGATTCCTCCGCTCCGTCATGATCGAAACAAACAGACTTTTTGACACGCTAGTCTACGTACGCTGCGCCCTGCATCCCCCCCCCCTCCAGTTGTCCAGTTGTGTGATGTTGTTTCTTTGGGTTGTGAGGTGAAATCAGATAAAACTACGCCTGTGTTTGGGATGTGAGGATGAGGGAAATAGGTAGGCTATGTCACTGTTCCGATTGTGAGGTCGACTGAGATAGGGCTACGCCTGTGTTTGGGATGTGAGGATGAGGGAAATAGGTAGGCTATGTCACTGTTCCGATTGTGAGGTCGACTGAGATAGGGCTATGCCTGTGTTTGGGATGTGAGGATGAGGGAATAGGTAGGCTATGTCACTGTTCCGATTGTGAGGTCGACTGAGATAGGGCTACGCCTGTGTTTGGGATGTGAGGATGAGGGAAATAGGTAGGCTATGTCACTGTTCCGATTGTGAGGTCGACTGAGATAGGGCTATGCCTGTGTTTGGGATGTGAGGATGAGGGGAATAGGTAGGCTATGTCACTGTTCCGATTGTGAGGTCAACTGAGATAGGGCTACGCCTGTGTTTGGGATGTGAGGATGAGGGGAATAGGTAGGCTATGTCACTGTTCCGATTGTGAGGTCGACTGAGATAGGGCTACGCCTGTGTTTGGGATGTGAGGATGAGGGAAATAGGTAGGCTATGTCACTGTTCCAATTGTGAGGTCGACTGAGATAGGGCTACGCCTGTGTGTGGGTTGTGAGGTGAAAAGAGATAAGACTAAGCCTCTGTTTGGGTTGTGAGGGAGAGTGAGATGTGACTATGACAATGTTCAGAATGTAAGGATGATATGAAATAGACCATGTCCCTGTTTGATCAATGCCTCTGTTCAGAATGTAAAGATGGTATGAAATAGACAATACCTCTGTTCAGAATGTAAAGATGGTATGAAATAGACAATACCTCTGTTCAGAATGTAAAGATGGTATGAAATAGACGATGCCTCTGTTCAGAATGTAAAGATGGTATGAAATAGACAATGCCTCTGTTTGGTTTGAGATGGTGAGGGAAATAAACGATGTCCCTGTTTTGGATGTGATTGTTGTGATCCAACACAGAATGTTCAGAGCACACATCACTCAGCAGACATTTCTGCATGTTGTTGTTAATGTTGTTAATGTTGTTGTCGTTGTTGTTGTTGTTATCGTGTCAAAGCTTCCAATTTCCTGCCATCGGGGGACTCACCCAAGCAAATTTCATGATTGCTGTCGTTCTCCAAAAAATGAGGAGGATAATTTTGCTCACATACTGCGTCATGTCAGCTTAAACATGACGTATTTTTGGGGACTTGTCGTTCAACAGTATCTGATAAATGTACAACTAGTGTTTCTTTTACTGTGATCGAATGAGAATGGGTGATGATTTGGAGAAGAAGACACCTGCAAATGAAAAACAAAACAATTTGATCTTGTGAAGATCATTCTAACTCGCTTTATATGTATGATTTTTTGTATACATGTTCCATGTTTGATGGATCTCCGAGCAAACATGCTTCATCTGATTATTGTTTACAAACTGCAGTTTTTTCAAACGTACAAGCTTCTAATTCTCCGAGAACAGACGGTTCCTCTGTCAGGGGAAGCAAGGGAGAGTGAAGAGATCATGCCCTTTGACCTTTCTTTTGTGTCCAGACTTGAGCAAAGACCCTCAGGAGATGCCATAATTGCAATGTCTTACGCAGATTGTCTGCTGTTTTTGCAATGTCGTTCTGAGTTTGTCTGTTATCGTTGCAAAGTCGTATTGAGTTTATCTGTTGTTATCATTTGTTGTTATCATTGCAATGTCTTTTAGAGATTGTGTAGTCAGACTGAAAGCAAGTTTCAATCAGTTGTCAAGAAGAAGGTTCCATAAAAAGAAAAGAAGACTGAAAGTGACAGCTCTTCAGCATAAACAAAATATTTACAAGTGTGACATCTAGGCCTATATAATGTTTGATTTGTGCGACGCTTGTGTGGCACCGAGGTGAAATCAGGCGCTCATCAAAATAAGTGAATCAAAGAAACAGGCTTTATTTCAGAAAGCTGTGAAATTTTATTATTACTTTTCTTAATAATTACAAATTTATTTATTGTTATTATTTTTTTATTTTAAAAAAATAATTTAAAATTATTTTTTTTTTTTTTTTTTTTTGGGGGGGGGGATTGGCTCCACAACTGTTGTGTCCATTGAACAGCATAATATTTCTGTGTGAATTTTACTGAAAACCGTTGAAGAAAGGTGCAAAAATGTTCAGTTGCACTTGCCACAAGGACTCTCAATTTTGGAAGTCACCAAACTTTTCAGGTAATTTTCTACCTCACTTTTCCTCTTACAAAAGGCAACCCCTACCTCTTTTGATTGCAAGTATCTCTACTTGTCTATTCATGATTGGTGGGTATGTTTTTCATCAAAGGCAAGATTGTGGGTGGTTAGCGGGTGCTCTGGAGTGGTTTGCTTCTTCTTTCCTGTCAAACATCTATCGTCCTTATCTCCCCTCCTTTTTTATGTTTGTTACTCTCTTGTAACACCTCTAATCTTCTGGCACTCATATGACCTTATGCATTTGTGAGCGCCGTAAAACCTCTACTAAAACAATAAAACAAAAGCAAGACTAATGAACAAACGTCAAGATGAAACCAGTAAGTCAGAAGACCCAAAAATTGATGAGCGCCTGATTTGACCATGTCGGGACTCGTAGGCCTATTGTTTATTTCTGTGTTTGGTGGGCCGGAAATGGACAGACTTTTTGTGATTTTTTCACTTTACGGAATAAATTTTGTGTTTTTTTGTTGCCACGTTGTGATAAAAGAAAAACTTTCTCTTTGAGAAGAGATCTGGTCATTATACGCTGTTATGTGATATACGTACGATCTTGTCATTCTTTGTTTCCATTGTCAGACAGTGGGCTTGGAATCAAATTGTTCCTTTGTGATTTTTTTGTTTTTTTTGTTTTTGATGTTGCAAATAGAACTCTTTGGCTCTTTCCCCCGCTCTCCTCTGTCTCCTATTTGACATCTGTTGTCCCAAGTTTTCATTGTTCAAGACTGGAGTCTTTATGGGGAAGGGCAAAAGTCTACACAAACGTGTCAATGATCAAGTGGAAAAACGAACTTTTGTGTGATACAAACTTTTGACAGGCTTAGTTAAATCATTGTGCTGAGAAAACTTTAAAAAAATACAAACTTATGCAAATTTGAGTAAATATTTTGCAGAAAAATTATTAGTTAGAGATATAGATATAAACTTTTGCAAAGTTCAGTATATTTCCTGCCGAAAAGTATGAGACATTTTAAATGAATTTTGTCAAAATACATTAAGTATAGGATTGAAAAATTATTAGAGTTGTAGCAAAGTTTTTTCAAGTTGTGCTAGTCGCTCATCTTGCGGAGAATCTATTTGTAGGGATATTACATTTTGCAAAGTTCTGTTAATATCTTGTAAAAAAAACACTATTTTTAGAGATTAAAGTCTTTACAAAGTTTAAATAATGTCTTGCAGTGAAACTATTACTACTATTAGAAATATAAAGGTTTTCAAAAGTCTCATTAAGTAGCTTATCTTGAAGAAAACTGTCAGAAATATATCTTGACAAAAACTTTCAAAAAAACAAATACCTTGTGAAAAACTATTAGAGATGTAATAAAGTGTGGCAAAGTTCAGTTAGTAGCCTGTCTTGAGGAAAACAGTCAAAGATCTATCTCTAGGAATACTGTTAGATATTATATTATACATTAGGAGTTTTTTTTAGAGTGCAGTCAGTAGCCTATATTGCGGAAAACTATCATTAAAGAGAGAAAGTTTTGCAAAGCTCTGTTTGTTGCTTAGCTTGAGGAAAACTCTCATTAGAGATATAAAATTTTGCAAAGCTCTGTTAGTTGCTTATCTTGAGGATAACTATTATTACCGAGAGAAAGGTTTGCAATGTTGAATTGTTGTGGTACGAGTCATCTGCTGTAAGCTTTCGTCCATCTGTCAGTCAGTCCGATCCTCAGGTGTCGCCTGTTTTGTCCAAGTTTTGTTTGCTGTGGATTATGAGTGGGTGGTTAGAGGATATTCCTTCCTTGTTCTGGTCAGTATGATGTACAAATTCTTGTGTTGAGCACTGGTCAGTGTCATGTACAAATTCCTGTGTTGAGCACGAAGCTTTGTATGGCTTAGAAATGTTTTTGTGTTGTTATTTTTTTGTAATGTTCAAAATTGGCTCAACGTTGGCTCAGAGAGCTTGTCATGCTCACCTAGAGGTCATAATATACATCAGTATTGCTCACTTGGAGGCTGGCTGCTTCACTTGTTGGGAAAAAAGTATCCTGTGGATGTTTAGCAGATACTCTGGTGTGGTTTGCTCCTTATTTGCTATCAAACATTTATCGTCCTAAATATCTGTCCTCCTTCTTTTTTTTGGTGTTTCTTGACTCTCTTGTAACACCTCTAATGTCTGGTACTGGAATGACCTTATTGTGTTACAAGTGCCATAAAACTCTTACTAAAACTAAACTCACTTTCTGCGAAAAAGTGTTCTCCTTTTGTATATGTTTATATATAAATATAAAACCTGAGAAAAGCCTAGAATTGTATTCTTTCAATGAGAACATGCCAATAAGAAAGGACCAGTTATATAATCAGTGGGAGGTTGGCAGGCACTGTGGTGTGGTTTATTTCTTCTTTCTTACCAAACATCGATCGTCCATATCTCTCCTCCTCCTGTTCTGGGTATGTTACTTGTTAGTAAAACTTCTTATCTTTGATACGTCTTTATAATGTGATAGTAACACAAGTGTTGTAAAACTCTTACTAAGATTAAAATTTGTGTCAAGATCTAGTAATAATCATCCCCCCAACTATACCACCACACCCCTACCTCCCCATTACACGCGCACACACACACACACACACACACACACACACACACACACACACACACACACACACACACACACACACACACATACACACACACAAGCACACACAAAGCAATCTCAGAAGGCTTCTGCTATATTGGGTTTAGGTTCAAGCAAAACTTTTTTTGTATCAAAGATGAAAACTACATACACTGCTGTAAAGTACATTTTAGGGCAGTACGTATTTTGTTATTATATGTCAGTGTGTTTGTTGGTATGTGTGTGTGTCAGTGCCTCTGTGAGTGTGTGTCTCTAATATATTGGAGAATAAATGGCCCAATAATTTGGAAGTGTGCATTATTATGTCTGTGATTATTTGTAGACCTACACATGTGCGTTTCTGTATGCATGAAAATATATTTTTGTTTGTATATGTTTTGTTTGTATATGTAAATACTCATTTACAGGAATAAGTTGGTATTGTTCTTTTTGCTTCATCAGTATTTAAATTTTTGTTTGTTAAAGTGGCCGATTGTCATAATATGTATTAATAATATCGAGAGAAGAAATATGGGTCCTTTTGATATTGTTGAAATCTGTTCAAATGTACTAAGCCAAGATAGTACAGTTGTTTGGGATTTTTTTTTTCAGATGAAAGTAAAGACTGTTTCATTTGTTTGAACCTTTATCCTATATCTTTTCTTATTTGTTTTTTAAAACATTTAGAATTTTTTAGTTTGAATATCTACGAAGCATATCTTGAGCACGTACAAGGGATACCGTGCCGCAGATTAATTAGGGAAACTGCAATTTTAAAAAAGACAAAAAGACCTCAAAATTTTGGGTTTAGTTCCTTTGAACAGATGGCTAACGATATTCTGTTATGTGAAATGTTACATCTCTTCGCGCAGTATCGATTGCAAAGGGACTGTTGGCTACCTCAGGATTACAAAGTTCTATCTGACATTTTTGGCCATTTTGAGTTACTAAGACAATGAGATCAGCAGAAACTGTATGTCCTTTCTGCTCTATCAAAATCATATTATGTGAAGCAGCGTGGTGGAACTAGGCTCTCGTCAAAATAACCAAAGTGAAGAAACTTGTATTCTCCCGCAGGTTTGTGAATTTTTATAAAATTTTTGTCTTTTGGTTCAGCACCTTTTATGCCCATTAAAGAACTCATTTCTGTGTGGATTTTTCTGAAAAACGTCGATTAAAGGCATAAAAATTGTAAATTTTTAGTTACCACGGACTTTTAAGCTAAGGAAATAACTCATCTTTGGTGACCATTTTCTCACAAATTTTACCTCTGAAAACAGGTGACCCCACCTCCTTCATTCGCAAATATCTCCACTTGTATTCAAGATAAACAGATATTTCTTTCATCCAAATAAAGATGAGTGAACAAGCTTTAAGATGATACCAATAACTCTACACGCCCAAAAATTGACGAGAGCCTGATTCCACCACGCTGCCTCACATATGATTATTCAAAGCCGTTATCGAGCAATTGACAAACATGTATTAAAAAAAGCTTGACACGACATGAAACTCAAAATTATTTACGTCAGATATCTCAAAACTAGGTACTGAGCAGGTAGAACTTTGTTGTAATTCTGAGATGAATTGTTGCCTGTAGTAGTAAGTCACACTAGCTGACTGTTACCGTTGTGGTGGTCAGTGGCTCAGAGGTGACCACGGAGGCTCTCGTGGCGTAGAGGTTAAGGTGTTGGCCTCTCATTCAAAGGTCCCGGGTTTGAATCCGGGTAGCAACGGGAAAAATTTTCTTCTCTAAAATTGTCTCCTTTCACCTTCTTTCCTTCTCTCTTGCAATATTCTGTTATATGCTTTCGTCTCCACTCGTCTCCACTTTCTTCCCCCACCCCCTCACCTCCTTTGCCCCCTCCACTGGGCTCTTGACTCTTTCTGCAGTCTTTCTATTGCTGCTTCTTGGCTACTCCTTACTGCTGTCTTTCAGCCACACCCCTGGTCTACTGGTAGGAAAGATCTACACCTAGCCTTCTCGGACTAGAGCGA